GCGCTTTTAGGAGTGAGACATACTTCTCGGGTACTCCGTATCTCCGCAGACAGTTCCATAGTGCAGGGTGATCGGTAGAGTCGAAAGCCGCTCTGATGTCTAAAAACACGACAATGGTTTGCCGTCTGTATGTGTGGCGTGTTCTAGTAGCTGATGGAGGGTGAAGATTTGATCTATGCATCCACGGCGTACACGAAACCAAGCCTGCTCCTCGCGGATTTGCTTCTCACCGAATGGGCATAACCTGCGTAATAAAACGGACGCTAGCAGCTTCGGCGCTATTGGAATCAGACTTATGCCCCTGTGGTTGGAACAGGCGTTGCGACAGCCATTCTTGTAGATGGGTGTGACAATCGATTCTCCCCATATGTGGGGTACATTTTCAGTTTCCCAGATATTCGAGAAGTCTCCCAAGTTCGCTTACGACAGCATCTCCACCATCTTTGAAGAGAGCAGGTGGCAGGCCGTCTGATCCAGCCACCTTGTGTTTCAGGGCTTGGAGTTCCTTTCGGATCTCCGCTTCTGTGGGAGGTCCCGTCGGTAGTGGCCAGGGTGCACTTTCAAGAGAGCTGCTTGGGGCAGCTAACGCGGGTGGCTGGTTGAACTGCCATATGAAGTGCTCCGCCCAGCGTTCCAATCGTCGGTGAAGGCTGTTTATTAACGTGCCGTCTACTTCGCAGATTGTTTTACTAGCGCACTGTCTTTAGGGGCCTGTGGTACGGATGAGCTGGAATAGTTGCCGAGTGTTTCCACACCTAGCTGCTGGTTCCATCTCTTTTGCACGTAGCGTCCACCAGGCCTCTCTGTCGTCTCTCAAACTCTTTATGAGTTCACGCTTCAACGAGAGGCGCTGTTCATTGTACTCGTGGTCTGCCGGGATTGCCCGACGCGCGTCGAGGAGTCTGAGAGTTGGAGGAGACCCAGTGATTTACAACTCGGCGGGTTAGGCCACAACTGTGTAAACCAGCTGAGTGCATTGCGTTTCGGATGGTTGTCCAGTGTTGATCTACGCTATTTGGTGAGGTAGCATTTAGCCTTGCGGCCAACTCGTTTTGATAATCGACTAGTACGGCCGGGTCAGAGAGCTTGACGACATCGAGCTGTTTGCATCGTATCGTTTGCGGCCACCAAATAGCATAGTCAACTTGGCACAAATCAGTGCGTGGTCGGAGTCCAAGCAGGTAGACCAATACGAAAGGCAGTCTTTCGTACATGCTCTCCATCTA